TCACAAGCAGGTCCCCCGCCCCGCTCCCCTCTCTGCGTTAATGGGGGTTAAGGCAGAACTTGTGCCAGACACGGGGGGCAGGAGACTCACAATGGATATTTCTCAGAAGCAGCTGCTTCTTTCCCAGTGGGGCTAATTAACATAAGGAGTGGGTCCAGCTCTGTGTCGTAATTATAAGTAAGTGCTTCTTTTCATCGTGAAGTCTTCAGAGGTAGCATCCAGCTGCTGAAACTGGCAAGGAGGCAGAACTGCTCCTGGGAAGACTGTGCTCAGAATGACAGAAAGAGCTGGGCAGGGCTGTGGGATTTCATAGCTGTGGGATTACGTAGCTGTCCCTGTTGTTACTGCTGCCCTCCAGCACTCGTACATGACCTAGGAAAGCAGCTCAGGAAAGTTATGCTAAAAACCCCCCAAAACTTGGAATTCAAAAACCTAGGCAGTAAAAAGAGCAGAGCAATCCTGTGCTTAAGTATGATCAAAGAAGTGCTGTGCTGTATTACAGCCATATCTTTGTTCTAACCGCTCCTTGAATCTAGTGACTGCTTTTGAAGCAAGACAGAAAAAAGGGGATAAGAAATGTTATGCAGAGTTGCTCTGTGTCTTACTCGTCTGTGTGTTTCCAACATGACATAAACTAATGGCCTGATATTTACAATTCTTGTGAAAAGCTCTAAACTGGTGGTTGATGGGAAAAGACGCATGTCTTCAGTAAAAATAATTATACTGCCCATGCTTTAATGGTTTGGGTAGAAAATATTTAATTAATTTAAATAAAACCTTAACAACTGTAAACACCTTCACCTGTCTCAGACCTACAACCAGTTTCCCTCCTGGTGATGGTCCTGGAGGCTGTCTCACTATCATAACGCAAACATCCACAGAGGAGGCAGAAGGCAGAGATTCACAAAATCCTTGGTACAGAGAAGCAGGAACTTGCGTTGCTTCAGGAGTTCCTCAGAGGCATAGCTCACAGAGCTGACCTAGAGCCTGTTCTCCGGGCTGCAGCACAGAGCATCCAACTTCCCTCGATGGAACTAGGAACACACAAAACCAGACAGTTTATCCCTGGCCTTACTCTGAAGTCAAGGTTTGAGACAAGTACAGTGGAAAACAGTTTTGATAGCAGTACATAGAAGTTCTGACCTTTCTTAACTCTGCAAATGCTGATCCAAAGGCAGGTTTCACCTGGGTTCTCTCCCTGATCCACTGTGGCAGTTTGTTGAAGATGGCAGGGCGCGTGTACCTGTGGTCCAGGAGCAGGATGCTTGCAAAGTCCTTCTGATGGCGAATGGCTCTGCCTGCATGGAGCATACAACCACATTAAAATGGCCCAGCTCGGGTGTTTGTTCTCAGGCAAGAAACCTCATGTTCTCGTCATCAGTACTTAGGCTGCCTGGCAATGTGTCCTTTTTCCCCACTCTCCTGCTTGAGCGCAGTGACACTTTCTATCCCCCAGCCTGTCCAAGGAAGGATGAATTACCTATTGACTGGTTTACTGCCTTCATGCACAGGTTTTCAACCAGCACTCTGCTAGGTGCCTGGCCTGCAGCTCTGGGCTGGAAAGGAGAAAAGAGGTGAGACGAAAATGAGGCAGAGGTAAATCAAACTGAGGAGCCTTAATGACAAAGTGAGGCAAATGCTTATAACCTGAAGAGGTGGCCAAGCAGACCCCGGGCTGAGAGTAAGGAGGGACAGGAGACAGCTCACAGTCAGAAAACTATGTGGAGCCTTCACAAAGAGCCAGCCCAAGGCCACCTTGAGGGCAGAAAACTTGTCGCCAGCTGCCCAGGAGCAGCATCTCCAGGAGGCAGTGAGAAACAAGGGAGCCAGAGGAGAAGTGATCCTGGCACGCATCTACCACCCTGCCACCTCCTCTGGGCTGAAGGGAACTTGTTCCCCTGGGAACTCAGTGAGCTCCAGTGGTGTTCCCTGTGTTTAGGGCCACCAGTACACATGTAGTGTGGAGAAGGCTGTGCTCTCAGTACCTTCACAGTCTGGGAGATGAGGGCAAGCTCAAAGAAAAAAAAACAACACTTCGAAGGCAGCCCTGAGACTCGTGTGCTGGAAGTAAATTTAATAATAAAAAGCAGAAGTGAAACAGGCAGAGGTCTCTCTTACCATTGTTTTGTCAAGCCAAGCCATTTTTTCCTGGAGCTCTGGAGATTTTATGTTGGGGTAAGGCATTCCCACCATAATCACACACCTGCAAGGGGCAAGGGAGGACTGCATTATTCTTAATGTCTCATCCTAGAGCACTTTGCCAAGACTGATAAATTAGAGGTCACTGCACCCCTGAAAGACAGCCAGTCCTGAAAAACGAAGGTGGCAATAAAGCACAGCGGTCTGGCAAGCACGCTCTGAACAGAAAAACTGCAGAGGGATTCAGGGTGCCAGAATGAGGGATTATCTAGCACAGCAAGCCTGACTACATTACTCACATAAAAAGTAGTCTGGACAAGGGGTTTTACACCACCCAGCAGACCTGGTCCCATTGGTTTAAGCATCACCCCAAGCCATGTGCCCCCCAGGACTGTCTTATCTATGCAAGTACTGACACGTCCATCCTGCTTGGAGTCACGGCACCATGGGCCTAGCGCTCAGCTTCCAAGGAACAGCCTCCTTACCTTCCCAGGTCATCGGAGAAGTTGATCCCTTCGCTCATTTTGCCTCCAACTACGGAAAGCAGCAGGGCCCCCGTCATCTGTCCTCCTCCTGCCTGGGTGCAGCGCTGCAGGAGAGGGACCAGCAACTTAAGCCAGAGAGCAGGGGATGTCTGTGCTTCAGAACCACTCCCACACCTGGGCCAGAGCCCTCTTTCCTTGTGGAAAGCTTCAGTGCCCTCTTTAGCAGCACTCCTGTACACAGCTGGGATGGCACGTTCCCACCAGCCTGCCAGCTCAGCTCACCTTTATGCATTTGGCATATTCCATCAGCACCTGCTCCACCTGGTTGGCTTTCTTAGGCTCCTGAAAGATCTGTCACAGGCACAGCACGTCAGTTGTGGCAAACAGTTTAAAGCAAACAAATCATTTTACTCCCACGCCGTTGAACAGCACATGGAACTAAGACAGGGGAAGGGCAAGTTGTCCAAAAAACCAACTTCACCAGCACCTTTCCCCTCCGTGCCAGAAACACACCGCACGCTCACTATGGCACTTTCCAACTGGGCTCTGAAGGGAGCAGCAGCTCTTTCCACCCCTCCAATGTTGCCTTTTGGCTTTGGCAGACTTGTCTAATTCTGCAAGAAGGTACACATCATCTGAGAGCTGAAAGGCAGAAAAGCAATGTGCACCAAAATTTTCCACGCCTGAATAAAGACCCAGCAGGGTGAGGACACCTTCCAGGTGCAAGATCTTAGAGGACAGTGGCAGGACCAATCACTTTGAATCACCAATTAATTACAAGTAATGGCTCCCTTTGCCCAGAGAATAAATTAGTTTTCTACGCAAAGCATACACAAACTAATATTTCTTTATGTTATTCTAGAGTGCCTAATTAGTCCCTGAAAGCCCTTGCAGTTAATTAAGCTGCATTTTGATAGATGCTGCATCTTGGCCTAAATCACAAGTTGTTTTGCTAGTAAACAAGAGGTGCAACATCCATCTTTTCTGTGACAGTAAAGAACCCAAAGGGTGAGTTTTCTCTTGGTTAGCAAGAAGTACTATCAGATTTTACCAGCCAGAATCAGTCTTTCAGCATAACAATAACTGGCAATTACAAATATAAACCAAATATAAACCAAAGCTAGTTTGTCCTCTGATTTAAATTAGTTTTCCCCGTGTAATTTTTATATATGAATCTTCCATGAGATCTCACCACAGCCACCTCAGGGAAGACTTTAACCTCCTTCTGCACGGATACAGATCTTGTGTGTGGGCAGCTGAAAGTCACACCTGCTGCACTTCTACCAAATTGCTTTGCTAACACATACCCAATTTGCCAGAGACTGCAAAAGCCAAACAGGAACAAATCGGAGTTGAAAGGTAGAGGGAGCTGCTTGATTGTGGCACAAAGCCTTGGAGGCACCAGGCGGACCCCTGGGAGCCCAGCAGAGCACACCTGGAAGGCACACGGAGTGACAGCTGCACAAACACACGGAGAAGCCGAAGCGTAATGCTTCCACCACAAAAACCTACATGTGCCAGAATGGCTGCACCAAAGCTGTGAAATATTTGGGTCTCTGCTCTCCTATTCCACTCTGTAAGTTGATTTTGCTTTTGGTAAACGCAAGTCACAGCCGGCGTATATGTAATTTATCCTTTTTTTGCCCCGGCATATTATCCAAGATGCCTGCCTCATGCCCTGACACCACCAGACTCCCTGAACTTCACTACCCAACCTTCAGATACTTGTGAGAGTCATTGCCAAGTTTTTATATTTAATATTTCTCATCATTTCTTCAACAGGAGTCACCACTGCTAGTCTTTCAACTCTCATCTCTGCATTTCTACCAGAAAAAAACCCACCATTTGTTCTGTCAACTGCAGTCCGGTCCCACTTTGCCTAGCCCTTAATTTTACTGGTCTGTGTTCAAGGGACACATAGTTGAGCCTAGGAAAAAAATTCCCTGCCAGACCTCAACCTGAACAGCACCCCAGCCACATGGGAACAAGCTTGCAGGTTATAGAAAGCAAGGACTGTCTCCCCACACGGCCAGTACATAGACTACACTTAAGGAATCTATAGCTACATTTAATCTAATTTAGATCCTAGCTCAGTGATCAGCCGCCCGGGAAGCATCATTTATTCATTACTGGAGGGATTGGCTAGATAAACATCCGCTCTGCTCTGCTGTGCAACTTGGTGAGAGAGGCCCGTAACGCATCGATAATTGTTTGATTTTTGAAACCTTCATTTAAAGTACCCACTGCCTCCTGTCGCTCAATTACCTTCTTCTTAGTTGCCAGGCGGGTGAGGAGCCCCGTCTTCTCCCAGTGTGCGTACACCTGCTTCTCATATTCGTAGGAGGGGAAGAAGCACACCACACCCCCTGGGACCACGTTGCACAGGTTGCAAAGGATTCGGCCCGTCTCATCCATCTGCAGGAGAGACACGAGCATATTGAAGCTGACAGGAGCTCCAGCTAATGTCACTCCAATTCTGCGCTCAATCCCAGGACACACCTTCCCTTTATGATATGCCTTGGAGGAGGAAAAATGTGAGAAATATGCCAGGTCCAAGAGAGCTCTCTAGGGAGCTGGGCATCACCAAAAACCTCTTTGCTCCCAGCCTCTCCTCTTTATCCAGTGTTTCTGTTACTGCAGCGTAGCATTTGGGAAAGGAGGGTTTATGTCCGTTGTCCCAGTGGATGGGACAGCAGTTGCTAGTATTCCTCGTCTCCAGCAGCTACCTCTGAGCAGGCAGCTAGTCTTTCCCAATTACCTGGCAACACACCTGCCCCAAATCCTGTGGATTTCCCTTGTCATGGCTTTCGTTCAGCTCACCTTTCAAACAGGAGAGCACACCATCCTTGAAACATAAGCACGTGAAGCAAAAGAGGAGATACCAAGGAAGAGAACAAAGGAAAGACTGACCATCTGGGGCAGGTCTCTCGTCTGGTAGGTAAATTCCAGTTGTTGGTTGGAAGGGCCACTGCAGAGGATTATGGGTAAAATGTTTTCTGGAGGAATCACATGTCCTGGAGATAAAACCAAATAGTGACAGTCAACATCACTGCTCTTGGCACAAACCTCACTACCTGAAGAGCTTTACCTGCGTGCAGGTGACAGAGGCGCCTATTTGCTTGGCTAAACCAAAGTGCCCAAGTCACTCACAGCTCCTCTGACTTCCCTTCCCTAAGCCCCCCAAGAAGGCGGCACGGCACACTGCCTGCTCATACGGGCCAAGACCACTGAGGAAGCCCAGAGTGGAAGAGAACTAGCACCCCTTTGCTGCCACGGCTTCTAGGAAAGATGTCATGTTGTTTACAGTGCTGACAAAACAGCACCAAAAGCAAACTGGAACACTCAGGTCTTGCAGAGGCACATTATGACCTCTCCTCCCTGCCACCCCGGCACACTCACCGCAGGAGAACTCCACAACCCGCGCAGGGTCCACACCAGCACAGGACAGGAGCTGCTCTCGGAAATCGGCCACCTACGAACCACAAGCCAAAGAGAGGTAAAGCACCAGCATCCCAAAAGACACTACATCAGTCATGCTTGTACTGCTAACCAGCACCAATATCAAGGGAGAACCGTCCAGTGGGTTGCTGGCATGGGGCAGGCAGGCTTCCTCCACAATGAGAAGACCATGGGCAGGGGAATGCCTCTCTTGGCCCAACATCTTCCAATTTTAGACTTCCCTGGGCCCCAAAAAGCGTGTTACCAGGACCCCTGAGCACTGCACAGACTACAGCTTGGATTGCAACCTCTCTTCAAGTTACAGTCGGAAGGGTTCAAAGTTGGAACAGTGGCTTCCCAGAAAGCATGTCTCGCATTTCACACCTTCCTTCCTTCCGTTGTCATGCAAAGGACAAAGAGGAAATTTCAGGACATTAGTGTCCGGGAACAGGATAAATGTAAAACTGGCATGTCTGGCACACTCCACTGCATCTGTACAGCACAAACATCCTGCCTCTTAGGCACTAAAGCAAAGGGAGGATAAGCTGCCTGCCGCCATACCAACACCAAAACCTTGATTTTTCTGAAAGATCCCCTATGGGATGGTCCCTGTGGGATCCCTGTCCCTTTAGAAAGTCAGATGGCTTTACAAGATCCTCTGACTGCTATTTTTGCTAGTTCCAACCTACCATGAGTTTAGCCTCGGCCTGTATCATCTTGAGGACAAGAAAGGCTGGCAATGGCAATCCTGCCCCTGCATCTACAAATTTTTGTGCATAAACAGGCAATGTGACACCTCATGCAGGGAAACCATAGCAGGGAGGTAAAAGGGTAGGTAGGAGAGTTCTTTTCCCACACACACCATGGGAAGGGAGAGAGCACATCCCTGTAGGGACAAACTGTCATCTTTCCATGCGTGCTTGCAGATAGCACCAGAGACCTCCTGAGAGGTCAGCATAGCATCCCAGTTCCCTCACCGGCTGCATGGTGCCGCCAGCAATGATTACAGCACGGCACTCTTCCACCACCTTGGCAAAGTGGACAGCTGGATTCAGCAAGAGGAATTTGAGGCTGCTCTGACCAACTGTGCCTGGGAAAAGGAGAGAAACAACATCAGAAGTGAGCTGTGGCACACGATCAGGGATATGAAAGATTCTCCCTCCTGCCCTGGACACTCTGGCAAGTCCCCACCTTTCAAAGCAAGAACTTGCTCTTCAAGACTGCCAGAGGCAGCAGCAGGTAACGCCACCTTGGAGTTACCTTCTGCTTCCTAATCTTCCCGGAGCAGTAAATTGCAAACAAAAATTGACATTCCGAGTGGGAGCAGTGCAGGGCCTGATGCCCTTGGTTATGGATTCCTTTGGGTTCATAAGCATCCTCAGACAGAGCGAGCCTGCCAGCCTGCACAACAGATGGCATGATGTATGTTGCTGGAGGCTCCCTCCAGGCTCAGGATCTCCTCCCTCACTGTCAGTGAACCACCCTGCTTGTGACTCACACCACCTCTCTCCAGCTTGCCCTTTCCAATACCTTGCCTGTTGAGAATGACTCTGCCATCTTGGTTTGCATTTGTGAGGGCTGAAAGAAATCCTTCAATGTGCATCAGTGGAGAAGCAGTTCGGAGCTGGTCGTTCTCAGTCTCCACAGGAGGGCTTGGGGCAATACCTGCCAACCCGAAGAGAAAAGGAGATACAAGCAACTTAGGTCTCACTTCTGAAGACAGGGACTAAGCACAAAATATAGATGGAACAGGCTGCCCAGGAAAGTGGTTGAGTCACTGTCCCTGGAGGCATTTAAAAGACATGTAGATGTGGTGCTCAGGTTTAGTGGTGGACCCGGCATTGCTAGGTTAACAATTGCACCTGGTCTACACATGCAGGCAGAGAACAAAGACCCAATAAAGGACAGAACCCAAATTTTACCTCATTGCTGGGGTGGGGAGGGGTGGAAGGAGAAGGAGAAAGAGAAAGAAGGAGCAGGAAAAGGAGCAGGAAATTATCTGGTTAAGCTGGCACCACTGAACAGATCTAGCCATGGTAGCTCAGGTCTCAGAGACAGCAGGTCACAGCACTGAAAAGCTTGAGTGTGTGCAATGTAAACATAGAATCACATCATTATTCAGTTTGGAAGGGACATCAGGAGTCCTTTTAATCCTATGTATAGTTGCCTAGGTCACCTAGGCAGATACATCAAAAGACACTCATGCAAGACAGCTTCTGCAGTCTCTCATTCTTCAAATGTGCCTCCCCCCTTTCCTCGTGCAGATAGATGCAGGTTCCACATCCTCCCTTTGTCCACAGGTGCACAAGTGGAGGATGTCTGAACTCACCCCCTTTATCAGACCCCTGCTGGAGGGTCAGAAGAAAGTTCTGCAAACCAGCCAACTTCTGGTTCTCCTTGTTTGTCTTCACAGTTGTGGCAGGGCTTCCATATCGCTCCACAAACCCAAAAAGCTGCCAAGCAAAAGCCAGAAAGGCTAGGACTAGCAAGAGCAGGAATCAGCCAAGACAAAAACAGGTTTGCTGGCCTGCCACAGTTAGAGTTGACTATAAAACCTCAAGGACAGTACCTTCCTACTGATGAGGCTCTTCTCGCAGTAACGCTGAACCTGTTGGAGGAAGACAGAAAACTAAACTGGCATTCAGCGCCCGTTTTTCCATTCTGTTGCCCTGTCCAGCAGGGATATCATTTGCTGTACTTTTGGGGAGAGGTGCACCGTTCTTCATAGGCACTGCCTCCCAGACAACAGGTTATTACAAAGGCATTGCTTCCAGAGTGGAAACACATGGCGTTAACGTGCTGTGTTTGGACGTTCGAGGGATGGGTGAGGTTTCTGGAGCAGTATAGTTCCTTCATCCTCAACCCTTACAGCTGAGCTTTGCCTGAAGAGAGCCTCTGCACTTGTACATGTTTAATCGCTCACCTCCCTCTACCCCAAGACCACCTGTCCAGCTTTAATGTGCTATTATCCAGGCAGCAGCAGAAGAGATCTGTACATCGGGGAGAATCAGGAAGAAAGCAGATTCTGCCCTGTGGGCCTCAGCTCTACTTCCAGCTCTCACACACGCTTCCCAATAACCATCACCTGTGCCCCAGCAGACAACATGTGCGTTACCTTGAAGAGGTTGATATTGTCAATCTGGCTCTGAAACAGAAAGTCATTGATGGATTTTAGCACTGTTCCTGAAAGAAAAGGGGGGAAAGGGAGAAAAAAAGAAACTATTAGCTGCTGGGCCTGCAGCCCCTTACTGCCCACACTCAGGTCCCCTTCATATCCCAGAGGCTCACTTCAATCTTACCTGGTTGGGAAACTGCCTGACAGCTAGGATTTTGGTTCACATTACCTGTAAAACATAAAACAAATTCAAAGGAGGCTTACAATGGGTCTGTCTTAAAATTAAGACAGAGACTAAGAACTGAGCTGAAAGGGATGCAACCTGAAAAATAACTATACCTCTGCAAACATACAGACAAAACATCAGCTCCTACTCAGTTTGAACTTCCCTTGCAGGGTAGCCCTGCACTGTAAGACAAGTGTGCTGCCACACCCTAAGAAATACCACCTGCCTTCCTTCTGGAGCAGGGTGCAGCAGGTAGGGCGAGTGCACACAAATGCTCACACACCCTGGAGTCCTCGTGCTGAAAGAACAGAGACAGGGACTGCAACATATCCCTCACCTGTCCTCAGTGCAGCAGTGGGAGCTGGGAGGTGTGTAGGCTGGCTAACGATCAGGAAGAGGGAAAAACCCAACAACAGCTCCACACCCAGACCCCGACAGCCAGAATGGGATTAATTGCTGCCACTCGCCGTGTCGTACATCCTAGTGCCTAACACCCACCTCACATCTCATTTTGTAGCCTCAGTCATGAAGCTGTGCACAGGCTGCATTTTCTAACGAAAGCATTTAACTGAATGTGGGGAAGAGAAATGTGGAAGGAACAGAGCAGGGAGAGAAATATGCTTTTGAAAGAAAAGCAGAGAGCACCACCAGGCCCGTGCCCCACAGAACTGCATTTCCCCTTGGCAAGGAGGAAGTTCTTTTTGAACTTAGGACAGGCTCTCCTCAAGGCACGCTAAGGTCTAGCAAATAAATCATTAGAGGCAAGAAGCCCCACAAATGCCAGCAGATTTAAAAATCACAGCAAAATAATATTTTTTCACAGAGGAAAAGCACCACCCAAGAAAGATTAATTCCGCACGGGCACGCCTGATGCAGGTAGAGGCCATGCTACCAGATGAGCCAGGAGATTTATTCCATGCAGTTCCTGTGCTCTTCAAGTCACACACATGTCACACATCTGCAGCATTCCTCACTTAGCACCCTAGCTCCTCCCCCCTCAAATCAGATCTGAAAGTCTCACAGAAAGAGAAGGAAACTGCCTCTATGAACTTACAGCATCACCTGCTGCTCCTCAGCTTATCAAACAAGAGCAAGGTTCAGGCAGACAACACTCAACATCCCCACGTTACAAAACACATCAAGAAATGAAAATATTAGCCCCTGAACCTACACATGAGCAACACCTCCCCGTGGTCTCTGCAGAGGGAGAGCGGAGACAGTGCCCTGAGGAAGCATCGATTAGCTCAGAGTCTACTGGCGTCCCAGTGAAAGAATAGGTTTGCTTACCTCCCAGCATGGCCACAAACCGCTCCAGCAAATACAGGATCTGCTTAATGTACATCAAGTTCTTTGCCTTCAGACGTTTCCTATGAAAAAGAAAGGTATTCGGCCACAAAACACTTTCAGGGACCAGCTCACAGCAGCTGAGCTACAGAGACAAGCACCTGAACTCTCCTTCATTTTGGGGCAACAGAAACCAAGCATGATTTCTCCTAGGCTCACTCTCCCTGACAGGGGAGTTTATGACAGGGCACAGATCCCTAGATATCCTGCCCAAGGTCACCCCAGAGCACTCACCCAAGCACCCCACACTGTTCCTACCATCATCTTTTTCCTCACTCATTAGTTACAGCTTGTTTATTACAAAGGCAGTGGTGTCTGTTGCAATAATGCTCCATGAATTCAAAGTTATTAATACTAAGCACAATAATAAAGACTACAGGGATGACAAGACACAGAGCTAAAAACCACATATAGCCTCCTCTTGCTCGGAGCTTACTGCCTCTGCCATAATGCCAGCAAGCACATGAAAGACTAAGGTCCAGGAGAGACATGAAAGACAATCTTTTGAAACTCTGCATCACAAAGCAGGAGCAATTAAAGGGAGAGATTGCGAAAGGAAAGTATACGGGAAAGCCAGAATCCTCAAGGTATCCCCCTTCTCACCACTTAATACCAGCCCCAGGAGTCTGACTTAGACGGATTCTAGACAGAGATAATGAAGCGAGTGGCTTTTCATCTAAAGGAGTATTAATGCAAATAACTTTCCACTGGGGAAAAGCAAGAAAGACCCTGCACACGCAAGACAAGCCATGGCATCCATGCTGCCAGCCACTGCTGTGCTATTTTCTTCCGAGATCCTCACCTGTATCGCTCCATGTACTGCAACAGCTGGGAGTGGGCACAGCACAGCTACACGAAGGGAAAAAATGAAGTTGCCATTAGGAAGGAGTCCAGAAAGGGCACGCTGGTGGATGCAGAGCTCGCTCATGGTTCATGGGCGAGACTATGTCTCACCTGAGAGCCGCTGACTTCCGCGCTATGGATGCAGGTGATGGTGTCTATGAGGTTGTGGGCCTCGTCAATGATCACAACCTGGTCCTTCAGCTTGATCCCCGCAGCGTTCCTGGTAGGCTCATGCAAGAGCATTTGATAGGGCAGCACCACCAGCTGCAGGAGAAGCACACACTGTCCTGGCTCTAGCTCTCATCGTTACAAATTTAGGGCAGTCCCCAACCCCGCATTAAAGGCGCATCCCAAGTGGTCCCACAGAATTCAGTCCTACTTTACACTTACCATGGGAAAGGCAGGGAGAGAGACAGGAGCACGTGCTTGAGAGGGGCACCAAGGCGTAAGCTCAAGAGAAGTTATACTAGAACTACACATTGGCTCAGGTTACCTTCCAAATCTCCTTTGAAGTCACTGAAATCACATCTTCCAATAGAGAACCAAGCAAGGAATAAGAGCAGTGACAAGAGCTGAGATGACACCCATGTGCCAGTATTGCCTCAGAGTTATTGAGCCTTTTAAAGTATTTCAGAATGCTGAGACATGCTTACAGCTTCCGTATTAGCCTCCAATGGGTATTCTTATTTTCCTTTGCCTTCTCAGCAAAACTACAGCTGAGAGAAACACAGCCTGTTTACAGATTCCCACAATATTGAGTAACAGGGAGCAGGCAAGTGGCTTATTCTCAGAGCCCCTGGCATTAATTCCACTAAACCTGTGTGTACACCTAATGGCGTATCGACTCCCATAGTATGGGCAGGCTTTGGTCTCCCTTCCCAAAGTCACTAACTGCTCAATATCCTTCACTTCCACTAGAACTTCATCACGGAGAAACTGCATTTGCTCATAGGAATAAAATGGGCATACGGTGCGGCTCACACGTCTCTTCTTACCTTCATCACTCTTCTTTTCTAACAGGACAAATCAAGAGAGCCATGAGCAATATACAGCCTGAAACAACTGCCCTGCAGAACCTCCTGAATTTCAAAGCAGGCTTTGTCACATGCATTTTTGCCCTGTCATCTGTTTAAATATTATTCAACGGCAATATTTCTATCGCCATAGTGGACACTACTCTTGCCAGTTAGATTTAGCCATGTGACATTTTTCAACACTGCTAGTACTGAGTTACAGAGACCGCTGTCCTTCCACCGCAGAAGCTCTGACAAACTTTAGACACTCAGAAAATACAGAGAGATCTCAGCATCCTAGCCTGGAGAACAAGAAAAGCAGAAGTGCTGAAGATCTCTAGCTCTGCTCTCCAATCTGCCCTTTTCAACCCTCCCACCCCTCTCTGGCTAGAACTGATGGGCAATGCACTGTCTCCAGACCCTCAAACCAGCTTTATCAGGGATTGCTTCCCCAGGCTGGAAGTGCTCCTCCTACCGTGTTTGTTCTTTTGCATCTCTGTGCAGCGATCATTGATGAGCTGGAGAGCCCCCAAGCGTCGCACCTCCTCATTCACACACAGGTTCTTGCACATGCAAAGAGAGGAAGCCGTAGGGAGTCAATTAAGAACTGATTTCTTTAAAGCAATCTCAGGCCAGATTCAGAAGTGAAAAAGTCTATCAGTCAGACTTTGCGCATATTGCTACAAACATGCTCGAAACCCATAAAAGCTTAGCAAGAAGGGGGAAAAAAATAAGAGAGAAGGCGTACTGAGGCGGCTCACTGCTACACAGCAGCTTCTAAAAAAGTGCTGCCAGAAGTAAGACTAAGAGGAGCACCTTCCCAGTGACTCAGACACCTGCAATATTACACACTAGAAAAGGTAAAAGTTTTCTGCACGTACATCAAAGGGTAAACGGTGAAAAGATAGCTCATAGAAAAAGGTACAAGACACAGATCTGCGTGGCAAGCCATGACTGCTTTAGTTCTTCAGTGGGAGATTCAGTCAATCCCTGAGATGCCATCTGTGGCGTAACATAGAATCACAGAATCACGGAATGTCAGGGGTTGGAAGGGACCTCAAAAGATCATCTAGTCCAGCCCCCTGCCAGAGCAAGATCACCTACAGTAGGTCATACAGGAATGCATCCAGGCAGGTTTTGAATGTCTCCAGAGAAGGAGACTCCACACCCTCCCTGGGCAGCCTGTGCCAGTGCTCTGGCACCCTCACAGGGAAAAAGATTTTCCTGATCTTTTTGTGGAACCTCCTATGCTCCAGCCTGCACCCATTGCCCCTTGTCCTGTCATTGGACGTGGCTGAAGAGCCTGGCTCGATCCTCCTGACACTCACCCTTTGCCTATTTATAAACATTTATGAGGTCACCCCTCAGCCTCCTCTTCTCCAAGCCGAAGAGACCCAGCTCCTTCAGCCCTTCCTCATCAGGGAGATGTTCTACTCCCTTCATCATCTTTGTGGCTCTGCACTGGGCTCTCTCAAGCAGTTCCCTGTCTCTCTTGAGCTGAGGGGCCCAGCACTGGACACAATATTCCAGATGTGGCCTCACCAGGGCAGAGTAGAGGGGCAGGAGGACCTCTCTCTCAACATCCTCACAAAGCTTCTCTCATTAAGTTAACATGCCCTCTGGGTCTCTTGTGGACGATATCACATACCTGCCTGGATCCGAGAGAGACGAGACGCGTGTCCTTGCCAAAGGGACTTTTCTGCACCTCATGCACAAACTGTGACAGCTGGGAGTGAGTGCGGCTGCAGTAGTAAATCTACAAAGGGAAGACAAGAACAATATGGAAGCCAATCTTCTCCCTACAACCAGTCCTGCAAGAAAGCAACCAACAACTTCAACAAGGTTAATCTTGCTTGAGCCTTCAAAAACACAAGGGGAGCGACAGGTTTGAGTGTCACCTGACAAGTGCTGAGGCCAACAGTCTTAATTTTGTTTTCTCCTAGTCATTTGCCCTTGTTTCCATTTAATTTCCCAAGGTCCCTGTAAAAACAGGGACTCATCATTGAAGAGTAATAAGAAACTGTTTCTTGCTTTTACAGAAGCCACAGCAAAAATTCAAGCTGTGTAGTCCAGAAAGAGATGAGCAGAGCAGAACTTGTTGTGATTATCAACAAACACGTTGTTTTTTGGATGCTACTTCCTAAGTCCTTCTGTACCGCACGACTCTGGGAAGGGTGCAAGGAAGCCATAATTCTGCTCACTCCTACACTGTTCTATGAGGTGGCACTATTTACTTTCCTCATCTCACCTTAGTCACGTGCTCCTCTTCCAAATCGTCGTCATCTTCTTCCAGCCTAAGAAAAAAGAGAAAGCTCAAACAGTTTCAGCAGATCATTGGCAGTTAAAATAAAATGATGCTCTATTACAAGAGAGAGGTCTCAAGAAAGATGATGAGGAGCCTCAGATCTTAACTCAGGAGGTAAAAGCAGAAATCAAGTTTTTAAGAATAGTGTAAGTGTGCACAATCAAGTTAAGCCCTGCTATTTAAAGGAAAAAAAAGTCTGTAGGGCTGTGTCTTTAGCAACTTCAAGATATTTTTTTTCTTTTAAATTTGGGGCTTCTAAGCCTCAGGCATAAGCTAATCAGTGCTATACTATTTGGTAAGCTTATTTATTTATTTTTGTAAAACTTTCCCTTTAGAGACAATTTAGCATCCTCAAGCTATTGCATAAAGTAAAGCTTCAGGAAGATATTTAGCTGCCCTAGAGTTCCTCAAAGGCAATAGCAGTTTAATGTTTGATAAACTACACATAAACGTAGTTAAGTGTTTTGCAATTTTTAAGGCAGGAGGATCTGTCTGGGTGCTAATTAGTAAATTTGTATTTCAAATGTATTTGACTTTTCATGATGAAGTATGGCTTCTGGCTTTCTGCATAAAGCAAATGTATGAGAGAGAAAAGTGTGCATGGGGTTTTCATACTGAAGCTTGGTCTTTAGAAATGTAAACATCTCTCCCTTTGGAGTATCAAAAGATGCCAGTGCTAATCTGCAGGACTCATAGATTCTTCTGATGCCCTGAGCTCCATTTTGCTTTTCTAATGCAAGGAACTTGATCTTGAGTAATTTACTCAGCACCCAAAGGCATTCATTCTTTGGTGGGGATAAAGGCAAGACATTGCCACATGTTTTAAGAAAGATGTGCTCTCTCAGAAAATACTTCAGGTCACTGATCAGTCAGAGCTTAAAAATTAACACAAATTAAGGTTAAAAAAACAAAACAAAACAAAGTTAAAAAAACCCACCAAACCAGAACAACCACTACCTTACATAGCCTGAGTTCGGGAGAAACTCCAGATGTGCACAATCACAGGTGAAATATCTTTAATTAAGGCAAGCCAAAAGTGACACAGAAAATGTTTCCTTTGGATGGAACCCCCCTTACCCAGATACCACTTTCTTTTCTTCATCACTCTCATATTCAGCAAGAATCAGCTCCTCCTCATTGTGATCCAGCTGTTCTAGATCACCCACTCCAGCTCCCTCTGAAAGAACCTCCTTACTGAGCTGAAGAAGGCGCTTTGCCTCATCCTCCTCAGACCTCTGAAAGGAACACAAGATCACTTTTTTATTCTTTGTCTATAGAGGTAGCGCGTGCATCGCTTTACACCACAGACAGGTCAGAAGACAGCACAGTCCCTCACAGGGAACGGCTTGCTGGGTAAACCTCAGGACTCTCACCCACAACCACAGGCTTGCCCAGACCAACATGTGCAAAGGAGAAGCATAAAGAACCTTCTGTGCCAAAGGCCCAATGAACTAACAGATCCTGCAATGACAGTATCTGCGTAACCCAGTATTAGTTGCTGGAAGTGGCCTGTAAAAGCTGTCTGCGTGAGAAAAAATAGTGTGCAAATAAACTCAAACAAACACATAAGGACACAATCAAACACTCTCTTCACACTCAAAGCAAGCATAAACTCAGCCCCTGTTTTTGAATGCAGATCACAAGGCTTTTCTTGCTGGTTCTTCTCCAGTTGTAGAGTTCTTATTCTAACACAAGTCTACCTCCTTATAAAAATTCGATTAAACTGCTGAAGAATAGTTTTCTGATTAAGTTTATATTCTGATAAAGAGCAGCTTGTTTTTTTCAATCTGAAGAGAGTATCTTCCAATATCAATGACCATATTTTTACCATGGCATTATGAAGAAATGCAGTCAGTGAGCACTACAGAGAATATGAATCAGTTGCTTTTCCAAAATTCTACAATATTTCTCTCATTTACTTTCTCGCTTTTTATCACACTTCTCATTTTGCATGCTCTTTATCTTCTAATAGGAGACAAAAGCTCTTTGTCCCACTTGTTTTTTACTTGGCATTCACCTCTGACCCTTTGCCACTTCTGCCATATCCTTTGGACAGAAGTTGACTGAAACATAGTGTAGCACTTGAGAAGGAGCACACTAGAAACTAATAATCTGGCAGCCTAATAAATCTGCCTGTTTGAGGACCTGAAGTGGGCATTTCTTGGAAGTTTGACTCATACCATCAAAAAGCTCTTAGAGTCAAGAGTACTGAGGCTAGTCCACCCATCTAAACGGCAGGATAATATATCTGTGAACATTTTTTTTTGTAGAAAAAGAGACATTTCTCAATAATACAATCAGGTTTTCTATGAAAATAAACAAATGCAATCATTCCCTTAGTGGTGAGCAAAGTACAACCAAAACCTGGCTAGGATCGTCTTCCGTTCTCATGTTCCTAAATTTAATGACAGTTCTACATGCTTCATTCCAGATGTACAGAGTGAGCACATATGCTCATAAAATAGAGAGCTTTAAAGAAAAAATAATCCAAGTACTAGAGCTTTTAAAATAAAAGCAGAAGGCCATCAGAACACATGCCCTTTCTATCCACATGCAAACACTGTCACAGGAAATTCTCTGCGCACAAATTGTTTTCCATATCTGTACTTTAAAAACAAAAGCTAACCGAAAAATTTTCAATGGCTAATTTTAGCAACCTAATACAAGTTGCTCCCTAAAGAGATGGGCTGGAAAATTCTGTGTGAAGTCACAGATATAAACAAGTATCAACAACACTTGAGGTAACCAAAATAGAAAGTTCTAACCTCTGCAGGATAACTCACCTTCCTCTTTGCCGCATATTTTAACTGCACATTATTGCGAATTTTCTCAAGGCGATCTTCTCGCTTTTTCCTCCTGATCTGCTCTTCCTAAAATAAAGGGAGAGTGATGGAAGGATGACGTGTATTTAATCCTAAATCCTGGATATAATTACTTTCTTATGCCACAGGCATAGAAGAAAAATAACTCTGAAACAAAACTGCCAGTGCACACCTCCTTTCTCCTAGAGTGTACGCCTATTATATCATAGAACAGAATCACAGAATGTGCTGGGTTCGAAGGGACCTTTAAAGGTCATCTAGTCCAACCCCCCTGCAGGAGCATGGACATCTTTAACCAGATCAGGTTGCTCAGAGCCCCATCCAGCCTGACCTTGAATGTCTCCAGGGATGGGGCCTCCACCACCTCTCTGGGCAACCTGTGCCAGTGTCTCACCACCCTCATAGCAAAGAACTTCTTCCTGGTATCTAAGATAAATCTACCCTGCTCTAGTTTAAAAACATTGCCCCTCATCCTGTCACTACACACCCTTGTCAGCAGTCCCTCCCCAGTTTCCTATAGGTCCCTTCAGGCACTGGCAGGCCACTATAAGGTCTCCCCAGAGCCTTCTCTTCTCCAGGCTGAACAGCCCCAACTCTCTCAGCCTGTGCTCACAGGAGAGGTGCTCCAACCTTCTGATCACCTCTGTGGCTGTCCCCTGGGCCTGCTCCAACAGGTCCACGTCCTTCTTGTGTTGAGGGCTGCTGAGCTACATGTTATACATTCACCCAGGATATTCAGCCTTTCTGACACTCACACCCATGTTATTCTACCCATCCTCTACAAGCGAGCATTTCCCAACCTTAAGCCTGACCACCATGTCTCGCTCTTCTTTCTTCTGCACAAACGCCGTAACCCAGTCCGGTTCCCCAGCGGCGCCTTCGCTCTTGGCGTGTCCTGGCCCAGCCGAGGTTGGATGATTCTTCAAGTCCTCCTGTTCGCCCTCCTCCAGTGCCAGAATTCGTGCCTCCTCCTGCTGCTTCTTCTCCTCGAAGTCTCGGAGCCAGGAAAGGGCCCCGCAGATGAGACTTAGCGATTTTCCCTGCCGCGAGAAATAAATCAGATTGAAGGACCACAGAACCCGTCCGGGTCAGAAGAAAGACTTTTGAGACATCATCGAGTCTGACCTGGCACAGGCTGCCCAGGGAGGTTGTG